TAGTCCAGGGGATGGCGTAATTGCTTGTGAAAACTAAACCAGCCGAGAGCTACGAAATGTTGCAACCTGGCTGCTGCCCGTTGGCAGCTCAGAGCTCTAAGGCCCCTCCATCAGCATTGCAACAGCCGTTTTTAAGTGTACACAGTACGTGCCCCGTGACCAAGCTGACCAGGCTGTTGCAGGTATCTGTATCTATGGAAGGGGTGTATTCTGGGCCAGATCTTGCTCTGGTGCAGGGACAAAGGGGAGACAGCTTGCAACTGCTCTATTCAGGGGCTTTCCGGGGGGCACTGCGGCACACAGTGCAGGATAGGGAAGTCCTTGGTCTAAGTTGCAGCTCTGCTTCCATGGCTTTGCTGCTGTTGCCTTCAAACTTACCCATAGCACTTAAAACCAACCCCTCTCAGGCTCCAATGGCCCGGCCGCAGGAGCACTGAATTGCTGGATCTGCCTTGCCCGCAACTCCTTCCACTCCCCACGCACCCCTCTGGCCGGCCTGCAACATGCTGCTGTTCTGCTCAAAAGTGCCTCCTGTGTTGGGGCGGGGCCTCTTGTCAGCTGAGCACACAGCCCCCAGAGCCGACTCTTCATATGACCCACAGGACCCTGTACCAATGCTATTCACTGGGGCCCTTATACTGCTGCTAAAGCCCCCTTGCCTCCAGCTTACTAAACTGAGCCCTGTGTGCTCGACGGCCCCAGGTCAACCTCAGCAGTCAGTCTTCGGTGGTACAGTTATTTCCTGCAGCTAGAAATGTGACCATTTGTGAGCATGTTCTTTTCCAAAGCAAATCCCTCCATGCTGTTTTGAATTAAAGGCAGTGCTGGCCATCCCAGTGCTCACAAGCAACCACCGTGCATCCCACACAATCACAATCACCGGGGACCCCGACAACAGTATTGCCAACCCCAAATGTTCAAAAATCATGAGTCAGGCTCAACTAAAATCATGAGGTTGGCTTTAAAATCAGGAGATTATGTACAAATAATAGATTTGGTGTTTTTCTTTCTTTGCCTTCTGCTTTTTGAGCCTTTAGGGTGCACTGGGGTCACATTTTGAAGTTTTCTCCACAGTCATGAGTGCTAGAAACTTACTTTCTCTTTAAGAATGAAGACTGACATCATCACATATCCACTTGATTCCAGGAGCTGGGACTTTAAGGAAAACAGTTATCATGAGGCTCATGACAAAATCATGAGAGTTGGCAACACAGCTAACAACAAGCCAGTGTGAGTGGCCTAGTACTCAAAGCAACCCTACAATAACAAGGGATTTAAAACTCATTGGGAAACAGACTTGCAGTTTCAGATTTTCACTTTTTAAAAATTATTATTTCTTTGTTGTAACAACAAGGTTTTAAATAATGGATTTTTAAAAGGACCAGGACCATTTGCCTTTCGACTCAGCCTGGCAATGCAAACTCTTAGCCCCTTGGGCAAGTGTCGCAGCATGGCACTGCATGCCTCAGGCCCGTCCCTTGGCTCTCCTCACCACAGATGTTGTTACACCCACTTGCGGGGTAACGGTTACATTGGATGGAGGAACCTAGCACCACTGCCTGTTACCTCCTGTTGAGTAACTCCTTGATCATCTAATGCTGCCGGAAGTGTCATTTCCTATGTGTATGTGGATTTAGCAGTGGTTTGTGCTTAGATCTTAAAGTGTGGTCTTTTTTTTTTTTTTTTTATGCTATATTTCAAAAGGACTACAGTTGCATGTCTTAGACCCCAAATTAGCTTGCTGAAAACAGGTATATTTACAAACCCTAATATTAGCAGAATTCTTTTCATGCTTTAACCTCCATGTGACATGTTCTCTTTGCATTTTAAAATGTCCCTGCAGCAATTATAACCTGCATCCTGCAATGTTGGGCTGCTGAACTTTTTGGAGTGTCCTCATCTTATGGAGAGGACCAACTTACAGTATTACCAAGGGCTATGTGGTGGGAGGTCACAAAGCTAGGGCTAGCCCAGGTGCAGGACTTAGTGCATAGCGGAGTGCGCAGTGATGTCCTTTCAGGCTCGATCCTGTCACCCGTTTTCACATGAGCAGCCCCATTTACTGGGCTTGCATCAAGAGTTGGTATCAGGCTGTTTGGGATTCAGGCTGAATCAACACGGGGGTATTTATTCAGTGGCATCTAAATCTTGGGAGATTTTGACCAAAAGAGGCAGAAATCTCATCACATCAGGTGAGCCAGGGAGATTTTCACATGTCTCGTCCAGAACTGGAAAGCAGGCCCCTGACAGTTTGGGGTTGTTGTTTGTTTTTTTTTTTGCAGGGGGTAGGGGTGGGATTCTAATCTGAACTGTTACCTCTCATTTATCTCTCCTCCCCACCAAAACATCTCAGGGGATTTGGAATCAAGATTCTGGTTTGAATCCATCTCTATCAGTAACTAAACTTTTTAAAGGCCACTTTCAGTCCCAACATAAGCCAGAGCAGCTCCCCTTGACGTCACTAGGGGTTACCCAGGGCCAGATATGCTCCCGTGTTAGGAATACAGTGATGCAGGACACCCCCTGCCCCAGAGGCACCTCTTTGCTACCTTCCCCCCCTCCTTCCTTTTTCTGCTTCTCTCTCTTTTTATCTGCCTTTTGGCCTCCCCTGCCTCTTCTCCCTCCTCCCCTCTTCTGTCCCGGGGTGGGGGTGACTTGAATTTAAGAGGATAGATCTCCTAGACCTCCCCCACTACTCCTGATCCGCCTTCTTCCTTTCCTTCCCAGGCCTGAGCAGGGACGTTGTTGTGCGGAGCAGACTTTCTCCTTTCTCTCCAGTCTCCTGATCAGCTCCATCCCGCTCCCCCTCTCCCTGAACACTATCTCTGCTTCTCTACTGCACTGAGCAGGGATCAGAGAGGGGGAGGATGAGCAACAATTACCATGTCCACTAGTGACCAGAGAGGAGAACACCCAAGGGAAGCTTTCCCTGCTCCCCACGTTTAATCTTTGTCACCCAGGCAGGGAGTGGGGCAGCCTAGAAGCCAGATGAGGGAGGGGGAAATAGGGCCGTGCTCTGGGGTGCCACCACTTACAGCAGGGCAGTTTTTTAAACTGACGGGGCCTGAAGGAGCGCAGCTCATAGCTGTCCTGCATCCATCGGCTGTGGATAAATGCATGAGCTGGATGTTTCTGCTAGACCAACCAGCAGTTTAAATGGTTAACCATGTGCATGTTTAAATTGTTGCCATTAGGCTCCAGAGTTAACATAATCCGACATATACAAGGTATCTCACTCTTCCTTGATAGCTATTGCTTCAGGCTGTCAGCAGACTCAGGCAGACAGCACTGCATCAAGTCACATTTGGAATGTTTTTCACAACTCTAAGGGCTAGAAACATCATTGTTCTCGTAAATGAAAACTTTTCCTCAGTACCTCCACTTGCCTTGGAAACTGGAATAACACAGCAGACGGGTAGGCTCTATCCTGGAGTCTGACACCAGTTTAAACACCCCTCCAGTACAAAAGGAGTGTATCTATGTAGTACAGAGAGAAATAAAAACTGAGCAGGAGGTTCTTTAGTTTCAAACACTAGAGCAATTTTTTAAAAACAGCAAGTAAGACAACAAATTTATAACGGTTAAGTATCTTGACAACTTCCCTATTAATTAGCAAGTGACCTGAGCCTGGAAATGTATACCTTAGTCTGTCCCCTTGTTACTGCCTAGCACAAATGCTATTACACCCTTTTGTCAGATAAAACGGTTGGGATTGCTCTCTGTTACCTCCTGTTGAGTAATTTCCCTCATTGATCCAGCCCAGTAGGCAGTGGCATTTCTCATGTCCACGTGGGTCAAGTTACTTGGCAGTTGCAATTGAAGTTGTGAAATGCAATTGCCTTTTATTTGTGGTTTTATTATTTTAAAAGGACATGCATGAAATGTTTGTACCCCGAACTTCGGTTTTATTTATTGGCAGAAATATTTTGAAGAGAGATGCATTTTCTTGCATTCCATGTAAATAGTATTTTCTTTGATTTTAAACATGACCCATGAAGCGTTTGCAGTTCAAACATTGCCACAGTTTGCTAGTATGGAGAGCCAGAAAATGAAACTGACGAGAAGAAACAAAATAAAATGAAACTGATTAGGCTTACAGCTCAAATGTAGTGAAATACAGAAAATTAAAACAAACAAACACAGCATTAGTCGTGACAAGTAAATTTAAGAATGTTCTGAAAACTTTCAGGAATTCAGATGTTACAAAGAACAGGGATAAGGAAAGTTGTATTACAAATACACTTATTAACCTAACCAGGCTCTTTTAAATCTCAGATAAAGAGCAGGGTGTGTGTGTGTGTGTGTGTGTGTGACAGAGAGAGAGATTCGTGTTTATAAGGCCATGAGTTTGAACTCAGACTTCTAGGTGTATTCCTTACTCTCTCACTGTTTCAATGTGGGCATGTCACTTACGGCTTGATTTTCCTAAATCCTGAGCACCTATTGCCTCAGTTTCCCGATGTGTTATATGGGACACCAACAATTTAAAAATCGCATATCGGTCTGAATTTTATGAATGCCTGCAAGATGTCTAGTACAATGGGGTGCTCAGTACACTTTTCCAAGACACCCTAGGGCTGTTATGATGTCATGTATAATGTATTTAACCATCCGCTAGCTCCAGAACTTTCATGTGGTGTGTAGAGCCATATACAGACCCGGATCTGCATTTAGAAATCCCACATGTGGGCAGCAGCAAGAAGCGCATTGACACCTTTGAGTATGTGATGTGGGACTTGAATCCAGTAAATCCTAACCCAGAGGTGACCACCTTTCTCAAGGCGTCACACCCAGGGTGACAGACAGCTTGGCAAGTGGTGGAAGGGGACAAGTTGCTAGTTCAGTGTAAGAAGCTGAGTGGGTCTAAATAGAAGGTGACACCAACTCCTATTTAACCTAGACTCTCGTCCTGGGAGCTCTTTTCTCTCCGTATTAGCATCTCAAGAGAGCACCCGAGAGGCAGTAGCAAGGGAAGTAAAATGCTCTGCTTTCTTCTCCAGCTGCAGAGGATAGGATCCTGGGGACCAGCTGGCACGGGAAGTCAGGCCGAAGTCCACTCCAGGCACTTTACGACAGTGACCAGGTGGGTGAACGTGAAGAGGAAAATGAAGGATCTGAAAGGTGGTGGTGGGGAATCTGGCGGGGTTTGGTGGGAATTGACCCATTATTCAATGACATTTTTGTGTGTCCTAAAATTGCAGCCTCACACAGGCTGCTTTGCAGTAATGACCTGACCTTGAGGTGTCAAGGGTGGCGTCTGAAAAAGGTCACAACCTTCTAGATAATTATCAGTGATAAAAAGTACTCCAGACCCCTGCTGCTACTTGTGTCAAGCAGTTTCATTAGCCTTTGGCCTGGCACAGCCAGGCTGAGGTACAGTAGTTGAGGATCCAACAATGGTGCTCTAGCTGAGGATTTCAAAGCAAATTCTACAGCACAGAAGATGGGTAAAATCTTCCCCAGCTGAACATGTGAATGGCTATACTGGGTCAGACCAATGGTCCATCTAGCCCAGTATCCCATCTCTGACAGCATGCAGTGCCAGGTGCATCAGAGGGAATGAACAGGACCAGGCAGTTTTGAGTGATCCATCCCCAGTTGTCCACTCCCAGTTTCTGGCAGTCGGACACCCCAAGTATGGGGTTGTGTCCCTGACCATCTTGAGAACACCCTGGCCCTGTTTTCCAAGATAATAACTGAACAGGGCACCATTGTGTTAGGTGCTGTACAGACAGAACAGAAAGATTGTCCCTGCCTTGAAGAGTCTACAGTCTCAGGCCTGGTCTACACTGGGGGGCGGGATCGATCTAAGTCATGCAACTTCAGCTACGTGAATAACGTAGCTGAAGTCGATGTACTTAGACTTACTCACCGCAGTGTCTTCACTGCGGTGAGTCGACTGCTGCCACTCCCTCATCGACTCTGCCTGCACCTCTCGGGGCGGTGGAGTACAGGGGTCGACGGGAGAGCGCTCGGGGATCGATTTATCGCGTCTAGACTAGACGCGATAAATCGACCCCCGTTGGATCGATCGCTACCCACCGATCCGGCGGGTAGTATAGACATACCCTCAGTCTACGTCTACACTACAGCTTATGTCAGCAGAATTTATATCCCTCAGGGATGTGAATAAACCATCCCCCTGAATGATATCAGTTACACTGACATAAGCGCCGGTGTGGATAGCCCTATGTCAGTGGGAGAGCTTCTCCTTCCGACACAGCTTCTGTGGCTCGCGGGTGTGGTTTTATTATGCCAACGGGAGAGCTCTCTCCTGGGGGCATAGAGCATCTTCACCAGATGTGCTGCAGTGGCGCAGCTGCAGCACTGTACGTGTAGACACGCCCTTAGTAAACCACAGTCATCTTTGGATTGTGTTGTAGCTGTCTCATCTCCACCCAAGCCCTAGTCCCAGCAAGACACTAGATTAGATGATCAACTATACCACACCTCAGACACCGACTTTCCAAAGTGACGAGGAGTGCTCGACCTCTGGCTCTGCCCCAGGCCCCGCCCCCACTCCACCCGTTCCCCTAAAGCCCTGCGCCCGCTCCACCCCGCCCTGTCTCTTCCTGCCTAGTCCAGCCCCCTCCCCAGAGAGGGCCATGTCCTTACTCCTGCCCCCTCCGCCCGAGACCCTCCTGAATCCCGCAAAACAGCTGATCATGGTGGGTGGGAGGCGCAGGGAGGGAGAGGGAGGCACTGATTTGCGGGGCCTGCCGGTAGGTGGGAGCTGCTGGGGGGTTGCCGGTGGGTGCTCAGCACCCACCATTTTTTTCCCCGTGGGAGCTCCAGCCCTTAATTCTTTCATCCTTGTAAAGTGCTATGAGAGCCTCACGAGCTAGAACAGGGAAAAATAAATGCAGGATAACAGCCTTGTCTTGCTTAACACTATGTCTGTTGCAGTCAAAGCATTCTTTAAAAGAAAGCGCCCACTTGACCTCCCATTCAGATGGCCAGCATCTCACTGGAAACCAGGCATGTGCTGTCGCCTTTAATGGTGTGGCTGGAAGGCCAGACCCATGTATCATGACAGAAGACGTGCGGACACCAACTGCCGTTTCTGAAACCTTGACGGGACCCATCTCCCCAACAATCCCAGAAAACGCAGGGCCACTCTCAGCCTCTTCCTCACCAGAGCTCTAGGTCTGCTTCTTGCCCTCTTGGACATGGGCTCTGGGCTCCCAGCCTTCTGAGTGGCTGGCAAGCACATCAGTAGCAGACGCTGCCAGAGACCAGCTCAGCATTCAGCACATGCCTCCCCTTTGGGTTCCTGTCTGAGCACTGTTGACTTTACAGATGGTTCGCAGAGGGGGAGAATGAATGGAGCGCGGTCCTTTCACTGCACAGCCCAGGTTTCCTGGCTGCCAGCAAGGGGAGGGAGAGGACACAGGCAGGCTTCTGACATGCAGGCCTGGCTCCTGCAGCCAGCACAGAATCCCAGTGGCCCAAGATAGCAGGGGCGGTAGGCACAGGCTTCTCCACTCTCCCCAGTTTGGGTGCTTGATGGTTACTGTCAGGGGCTTGCATGCTTTGAGGTGTTTTCATCTTTTGTTAGCAATCCAGGTAAAAGGCTCGAGAATGAGGGGACAGTACCCCCCCACCCCCATGAGACAGGAGCAACAGCACAGCACAGCAGAGAGGGACAGTGTTTTGATGAGGGGGCTGAGGGAAGGCCTTGGGGGGAATCCTGTGGGATCTACCACACCCTCAAGGGTTCCCTGAACTTTTCCACAAATGAGGAGGGCTGGCCACAGTTCTCTCCAGAGCCTGACACAGCTACCCATCCGTTGACTTTTGGGGGTGTCACTCGGGGGTCTGTGGAGATGCTGTTAGCCACCGCTGACCCAGAAACTGAGGGACCAACTTCTGCATCAGCACTGCTGAGCAGAGATCTGCTGCTCGCTGTGGTGTTTTTCCATTGACCTTCCTCCCCATAATGCCCAGGCAGAGCATTCTGAGTGTCAGAGAGGGGCAATGACATGTCAATTTCCCCTGAATGTCATAATGCCCAGCTGGCGTCTCCACTCAGCCCCCCTGTTCTCTAGGAGAGTCCTGGTTTGCCAACTGCCCAGCCAACTAGCCCATTAACATGCCCCCAACTGGGTTTATGGTGCAGTGACTCTGCATCACCATGACACTGGGTCGTGATGGCATGACACCAGCTCACCTCACCAACTCCCAAACATCCCATAAACGCATCGTAACGGGGCAGTAGTGCCACTCTGGATATCATAGGTATCAGCCCCTCCTCACAAGCCTGCTCCGGGCCAGAGTTCCTGGTTATACTCTACAGGTTATACTCTGTCACGTGGCTGGCAAACTACTAGCAGCCATGGAGGGACCAGAGGCCTGAAGGCATCAGAGATCTAGAAAGAACTATCCATGTTATCCTCACCATGTTGATTTCTGAGGTGTGTGCGGGGCCAGCCTAAAACTCATCCCTCTGAAATCAAATTCACCCCCCACAACCTCATTGTGCAGCATTATTGTTGAGAATGAACATGAACACAACTCCAGGAAAGGCAGTTAATGGTTCCCATGACAACTGTAATGAGTCCCTCTTATGCCCATGTAATGGCTTTTATGCCTTAATGTGGCTGCATAACATTTGCTCTGGAGAAGTGGTAAATGTGGAATGTCTTGGCTCTGGTGCATTCAAAGTCTCAGACCTACTGCTCCAGGAATGTAGTTGGGGTTTTGAAAAACTGATACTTAATGTCATTGGTTTTTAAAAAGAAGGAAATGAAGGGAGCAGTTTTGCACTGAGATAAATACAAGACGTGCACTTTCTCCACTGGGTAACTGGTGAAATGCAGCTGCATTTCTTTGGGGCCGTGCATGCATACTTTTAGCCATCCCTCCATCCCCCGTGGTTTTGAGCAAGTACAGAAAAAACACTTGACTAACTGTCTTATAGCATGAAACACTCTGTACTGTTTTCACTCACAGAAATGGCTACAGATGGGGAAAAAAAACCCTGTGAGCTGAGACCACACAAGAGACATTTCAAACCAGAGGGTGATTGTTTTCAGGAAGTTACAGTATCTGAAATCCAGGGCTAAGAATGAAAATGCGTCTTCGGCCATATCTGTAACACCACAAACAAGATGCTAATGGCGTGACTTCCAAGTCGCCAGCCAGGTACAATGGGGCAGAACCTCAGTTGGTGTAAATTGTCATAGCTCCATTGGTGTCAGTGGAGCTATGACAGTTTATACCCGCTCAGGATCTGGCCCATTATTTCCCTGTTGGGAGAAAAAAATGAGTGACTAGCAGAGAAAGGATACTTTATTTGAGCCCTGCTTCCATTTACAATTAGTATGGGTCCTCCTGACTATGTTTTTGAACAGAGATGTTGCTTGCGTGTGACGGGTTGAATCACAGAACCCTCTTGGGAGCTGCCACCTGATGTGCCAAGACTACCTCTGCTCCTGTTTTCCCTGCCAGCTCAGGACTCCAGCACCCTGTCTTGCTGAGCCAGACACTCCCGTCTGCTCCAACACAGACCCAGGGTCTGAATTACTTGCCCCAAAGCTGCAGGTTTACCTGAAAACAGCTGGCAAAAGTGTGCTTGTCTTTAGCACTCAGATGCCCAGCTCCCAATTGGGTTTAAACCCAAATAAATCCGTTTTACTCATAAATTGTTCGCCCTCTATAACACTGATAGAGAGATATGCACAGTTGTTTGCTCCGCCCGGTATTAATACATACTCTGAGTTAATTAATAAGTAAAAAGTGATATTATTAAATACAGAAAGTAGGATTTAAGTGGTTCCAAGTAGTAACAGACAGAACAAAGTAAGTCACCAAGCAAAATAAAATAAAATGCGCAAATCTATGTCTAATCAAACTGAATACAGATAATCTCGCCCTCAGAGATGCTTCAGTCATTTTTTTCTCAGACTGGACACCTTCCAGGCCTGGGCACAATTCTTTCCCCTGGTACAGCTCTTGTTCCAGCTCAGGTGGTAGCTAGGGGGTTCTTCATGATGGCTCCTCTCCCTCTTTGTTCTCTTCCACCCCTTTATATATCTTTTGCATAAGGCGGGAATCCTTTGTCTCTCTCTGGGTTTCCACCCCACCCCCACACTGGAAAAGCACCAGGTTAAAGATGGATTCCAGTTCATGTGACGTGATCGCATGTCACTGTCAGGGGCGGCTCTAGCTTTTTTGCTGCCCCAAGCACGGCAGGCAGGCGGCCTTCGGCGGCATGCCTGCCGGAGGTCTGCCGGTCCCGCGGCTTCGGTGTACCCACCGCTGAATTGCTGCCGAATCCGCGGGACCGGTGGACCTCCCTCAGGCATGCCGCCGAAGGCTGCCTGACTGCTGCCCTCGCAGGGACCGGCAGGAGGCCCCTTCGTTCCTCCCAGCCTGACTCACAGGAAGGCTTGCTTGCAAACAGAGCCCCAGTCAATTGTCCTGGTTGATGGGAGCCATTAAGATTCCAAACCACCATTAATGGCCCACACTTTGCATAATTATAATAGGCCCTCAGAGTTATATTTCATATTTCTAGTCCCAGATACAAGAGTGGTACATTTATACAAATAGGATGATCACACTCAGTAGATTGTAAGCTTTGTAATGATACCTTACAAGAGACCTTTTGCATGAAGCATATCCCAGTTACATTATATTCACCCATTAGCATATTTTTATAAAACCATATAGACTGCACAACGTCACAATGTGGTTTCAGTTGCCTATATGGTACCCACGTAAACATCTACAAAGGTTATGGGCCTGCCGTGGGGGTGAGCTCTTTCCAGTGAAAGCTTCCTCCTGCACAGTGCAACTTGTAGCGATGAATCGGTGGGTTTCAATGTCGGAGCCTGAATGCAAAGCGTCAATGGATGGAAGGTTTGTATTGGGTCCCAGGGTCCCAAGTGCTGTGTTTAGAAAGCTCCCAGCTAGCAAAGCACCCACAGCTTTGCCTGCCCAGTCTAAGAAGGAGCTTGAGGTGAGCCTTACAGGGACTGGCAGGCTGGCTGGGGGTCCATGCAGGCAGCCTGGGCTAAGCAAACGGGCTCCTGAGGGAGGGAGGGTGATGTAACAATGGCCGACAGCTGTCAGGAAGCTTCAGGAGCAAGAATGTGAGGAAGGCAAAGGTCTGGCTGCACCTTACCTCATGAGGCGGGAACTCTCTCCATGCGTGGTGAGCCGGGCTGACAGGATAATGATCCGTCTTGCTGGCTACTGAAGGAGCATCCAGCCAGAACCTGATTACAGGGATGGAATGATTTTAGGGCAACCTTTTTTACTATTATTATTCTTGAGTTTTTAAGGTCCACAGATATTGGGGAAAACACCTGGAGACCCAGAAAGAATACGGGGCATGTTCATCAAACGTGAGGGTCATTGTGTAAGCTTTCCCTGCACAACTCTGCCAGTGCACCTCCGTCCTGACCTACAGCACCCTCCTAGTCCAGTCCAGGGGTTGTTCCCCCCCATCTTAGCTGAAGCACCTCAAGCCTGACTTCCAGTTGTTCCTGTTATTGTAGTCTGGGGGTCCCCCTCCAGCTGTGCTGCACCTCAGGCCTGGCCTGCCGCATCCCCTGCTCTCCCTGTGGGACACCCGCAGGAGAAAAGGAGCAGTTTGCCAGAGCACTGTCACACCTGTGCAGGTCGACCCCTGCGGTGGCTTGGAGAGCAGTAACTGGAAGGATGTTCCTTGCGTGGAGGTGGCATGGAGAAAAGGGCAGGAGATGGTTGTGGGGGGAAAAGAACTAACAGACTCTGAGGCATTATTGGTGAGGAGGAGGAGGGGAGGCAGGTGGTGCGATAAGCGACCAGGTCAGAGAAGTAGGCCAGCAAGGAGCTCTGTAGGGCCTTGTAGACAAGGCTGAGCAGTTTAAACTGTAGGGGATGCTCAGAGGGAGGCCAATTCAAATGCCAAGCCATGGGGTTGTTCCCAGTCCTGTGGAAGATCCATCCTTCTGTGGTTTGGGTGGTGAAAGGTGCAGGAACAGAGGGATGTGAAGGGAAACAAAGTGAATCCCAGGCTACAGAAATAGGACAGTGAGCAGCTATTCCCCCGGACAGCGGGGTGCCTGTCTGGAGGAGCAGAGTCTGAAGTGGAAGACCCCCTCGGCTTGCAACATGGGAGCCATCATCGTGGTAAAGCGACAGCTGCATAAAAGCAGGTTTCTTTTCTTTTAGCAATGGGAGTGGTAGTTACTTAACTGTCATCGTAGTCTGGGCTGGTAACACTCTGGGACCAGCCTGGAAGTTTCCCTTATAAGGCCATCCCTGAGTGGTATGGAGAAGCCACAGCAGTTGTCTTCTGCCTCTGCCAGCATTGATGGGAGCGGGTGGGCAGGAGAGGGAGGGGATCTCCTCCTGATAGCTTCCTGGCAGTGGCTTCCCTTTGAAATCGCATGGTTCTAGTGGTTTGAGACATTACAGTGTGAGAGATGAATTCCTGCTACAGAGCTCAGAGATCCAAACTTCCCCAGCTCTAGGGTTTACAGAGCTAGAGGCTGGCGTGAAGTTGGATCTGATCTTACCCAAAGTTTTGGGGGGGGTCTGTAGCTGGGATTTCGGTCCAGAGACATCTCTGCTCGGCTTTTAGCAAAGCAGTAGAGCTGGTGGGAGAGGAGGCTGGGGAGAGGAGGAGAGGAGAGGAGGATACAAAGACTTGAGGGATATGAGAGAAAATGTAAATGAAGCACTCCTGGGCTGAAACCTGAGCCTTCTGCCTGCATCCTGCTGCAGAGCGGGGCTGTGTTGGGGAATGTGGCACTGGAGGAGGAGGAGAGACACGTCCCTACCATGCATGGTAGCTGCTTTGTGCAATGGTAGGGGAAGAACCCGAATAGGAACCTGAGCCTCCCGTTAATGAACTTGCCCAGCCCAGCCTGGGGCCACGTAGCTGACCGCTGCCAAGCCTTGGCTCTGCAGACAGCTCAGGCAGAAAGGAATGCAAAGTGGGGGGAATAGGGGAGGGTGTTTGGGTTCCTGGAGGCATCTCAAGACAGGTGTGATCACAATCATGTCATGCTGCCGATGGGACCACTCCAGTTACAGATGCTGAGCTGGCCTCAGAAAAGGGTTGGGGGCATTGAAACAACTCAGGGGCATCTGCTCTCCTCGTCTGCTGACCCCAGGAGAATAATTGTGAGAGGGGAGAACTGAGGCCAATGCAGGTCTAACACCCCCCACACCCCCACCCCTCCGGTCAGGGGGAGCCGTGGGTGTTGCCAAGCCAATATCTGAGGGGCTGCTCAGCAGGCAGCCCAGCAAATGGCTTTAGCAGCAAGGTTGATGCTGTTTGGCTCTGTGACAACAGCCTCTCATCACCCCCTGCCTTCCCATCTCTGTATGGAGTTTCTTCGCTCCCCTCTGCACTGCAGGAGGCCCTCAAAGGGGGCTGTTCCTTTGCCTATCCCCTCTGCAGGGCAAGTGCCAAAGGCCCCCTCTTCGCTTCCTGTATTAGGCACAGGGCAGGCCTCAGAATGGTTTGTGCCTTCAGTCCGAGCCGCTCTATGGGTCACGCTCCCTTCCAGCCACAGCCCGTGCAGCCCCTCGTCCCTGCAAGGCGTGCACGTTCAATCCCAGGGGTGCTAGAGACTGAACATTCTTCCGCTCCCGGAGCCATAATTGCCCCTCTCACGAAACCCAAGGATATTCTGACCCTACAGGCTCCAGCCTAAGGAGTGCTGACAAAGCTGGGTGATGCAGGGCTCCTGACTCTGCCATCCAGAGAGCATGGGACTTGGAAACAGCTCATTCTCCCTCCCAGTTCCCTGCTGCTCCCCACACCTCTCCGAAAACGTGCCCTTGAATCTGACTCCAGAACTGCCCCTAACACGGGAGCTAAGCCATGTGTTGGAGACTCCCCTGGGAACCCCAGCTGCTCACCTTCACCCAGCCTGCCCCCAGCCCTGAGAATATCCCCAGACCCCATCCCACAGGAGGCTGCGTAGGCAGGCTCCTAAGCAAGGCTGGTGGAAGGGATTGTAGCTTGAGTCCATGAAGCTTCCTCCAAACTCCCCTGCCCCCAAATTTCAAGGAGAGATTTCCAAGGACACGAGTGAGGGTTGTGTGTCCAGTTCCCTTTGACTTTCAATGGATGTCTACCTGGCTGCCCCTTGGGCCTTTGCAGATCCCCCCTCTACATTCATGCTTTTTCCTTTATGGGTGACTCAATTCAATTTAATTTTCCCCTAGCCAAAGGGAAGCCAATTCCTTGTATTAGGAACCTCCCTCCTGACCCCTTAATCTGTGCTAGCACAAGTGGCCAGTCTATACTCAGTGTATATGGATTATAGCCATTTTTAAATTAGAATTTCACGTTGCTCCATTTTTTACAAGCCCGTGCGTTCTCTCACTCTCTGTTTGCTTCCATCCTCCTCCCTTTTCCCCACTGGATCTAAGTGTCAAGTGCCTTACAGCAATCGAAGCTCAGAACTAAGGCAAAAAGCCCACACAGGTGAACTCCATAGCCTAGAAGCAGCACCCAAAGCTGGGCAGGGGAACGCATGTTACACCACAGCAGGGAGGGAACATTGAGTTCAGACACGGGAATCAGGGTATGAAGTCCGTGTGTCTGGCTGGAGCCCCACTCCATGTTAAGTTCAGTCGAGCAATGACGATTTCCCTCTTGTCTCTCCCCAGTTCGAGCAGTCATCACTGCAGGCCACTCACCAGCAGAGGCGGGACCTGCTGAGCAGCGTTTGCAGCCGCTACACCCGCAAGCGGCGCCTCCTGACGCCTGATGACTTGCGCCACCTGGTGGTGGATGACGTGCATGGGCTGCTCTACTGCTACGTGCCCAAGGTGGCCTGCACCAACTGGAAGCGAGTCATGATGGTTCTGACTGGACAGGGCAAGTACCGGGACCCTCTGGAAATCCCAGCCAATGAGGCCCATGTCTCGTCCAACCTGCGCACCCTCTCCGAGTACAGCACTCCCGAGATCAACCATCGCCTGCGCAACTACCTCAAGTTCATCTTTGTGCGGGAACCCTTCGAGCGCCTGGTCTCGGCCTACCGCAACAAGTTCACCCGCCGCTACAACACGGCCTTCCACAAGCGCTATGGCACTAAGATCATCCGCCGGCACCGGCAGGAGCCCAGCAACGAGGCCCTGGAGCGTGGTGATGACGTGCGCTTCGAGGAGTTCGTCTACTACCTGCTGGACCCGCGCACACAACACGAGGAGCCCTTCAACGAGCACTGGGAGCGGGTGCACTCGCTCTGCCACCCCTGCATCATTCACTACGATGTGGTGGGCAAGTACGAGACACTGGCCGAGGACGCCAACTATGTCCTGCAGCTGGTAGGGGCTGACGCCAGTGTCAAGTTCCCCTCTTCCTCCAAGACCACCAGGACCACAGACGACATGACAGCCCAGTTTTTCGAGGACATCAGCCCCTTCTACCAAAGGAAACTCTTTAATTTATACAAAATGGATTACTTGCTCTTCAACTACTCCATCCCGTCATACCTGCGCCTCCGATGAGGGTGGTGGTAGGGGGGCCCTAGAGAACTGGGGGCCTCACCCGTTCTTAGCTACTCAAGGCACCTCCCACCTTCCCCCGCATCCTCGCTGTTTGGTTAATTCCTTTCCTCTCTGCCTCTCCATTCCACTTCAAGCACGTGCATCACATGCCGACGCCCTCATTGGGACTGACCATGTGGCGAGAGGCTGCCTTGTTGATTAGCACGTGGAACGCTTGGGCCGAAGCACCCTTAGCCCATTCCAGTGCCTGCGGTAGATTGTTCACAGAAGCAGGCTGCTATTGTTTAAACGTTCAACTTTTGTGTTTCCTTTAGATGCTAAGAGAATTCACTGCAGATCTGAATCTCGGGAAGGCTGCTTATTGGGGTAGGCTCCCTTCACGGCCTGTCCCACTAACTGGGTTGTTTGCAGCCCTATCACAAGAGGGATCTCAACCTTTGATGGGCACGGGGAAGAGGACTGTCAGAATTTTGCAGAGGATGATGACAAAAGCAATAATTTAATGTGTATTGTTTTCTTTGTTCTTCTCCCTTTCCCCAAGCCGCCCCCTTTCCCATTGACTGAGGAAAGGGGAATGTGAGCCATCGATGTCTTCTTGTGATCTAGTATTTCTCTGTTTTTATCGCTTCTCCACTCAGTTGGGATTTTAAATACTTTGTTTTATGTATGTATAGAAAGAGAAGGACAGATTCATAATTGTAAATCGATGAAGCTGCATTGATTTCAGTGGAACGGCACTGATTGACACCAGCAGAAGATTTGGCCTAGATTGTGTGTGTGTGTGTGTGTCCCCTGATCAAATATGGTAATTAAAGACCCCATGACCCTTGTGTGTAAGAGTAGGTGTCAACTGCTCTTTGGGGCAGGGACTGTTTTTTATTTTCCATCTGTTTGAGGTCCCATTGTGTTAGGTGCTGTACAGTCTGGTTGCCCTCTAAGGACTACCACAATATAAATGTTCAATAGTAATAATCCTTGTGTCTTGGCCAAATTCCAGTTTGGCTGCTTAAATGTGGCCTACCGAATATTCTTCTTCACCTCCTGCCATACGGTGTAGCTGTATGCTGTTAAACAGCTGCTGCTTCTCACTCCAGAGGTGGCTGCATTTCACTGCTGGACCAAACAATTCCCAGGCATAGTTTGTGTATCAGTTTGTTTGTAAAGCACTTTGGGAGGGGATGCACTATAGAAATGGGAGATAACTATAGTTATGAAAAGATGACGCAGACTTCTGGAAGGTGTGGGGGGAAGAGAGAGAGAGTCTGTGTTTGTGTGTATGAGAACAAAACATAAACAGAGTCACCTAGTGGAAAGTTGTTGGCTGGCTGGCTTTGGACAATTCATTACTTGAAGAAGAAATAAGAAAACCTAGGATTTTAAATTCCAACCAGTCCAGATAGATGGATTTCCTTAGACAAAACAGCACTTCAGTCTTTACTCTGTTAAATTGAGCTTTGGTTCTGCATATAGAGCATCTCCTCTGTAAGTAAACGTGCTGATAGCAGAATTACTGTACAGTGTGTCTGCTGATTCTATTGTGAATACTTGATTTAGTGCAATACAGTGGCAAGGTTTTTATAAAACTCCATTGTGCTCAGACTTAGTCTTTTTAAAACAAATATTTTCACTGAGTATTTTTCAGCTTGTTATTTCTCAACTTCTTTTGCCCTCTGCCTTTGAACTGTTCCTAAAATGCTGACGTCCCGTCCTTGGTTATCACACTCTGTAAGGCCAAAGTAAAATCCAACTCTGGGACAATCTCATCAAGTTTGGCAGTTGGGTTTGGATGAGCACTGGAAAAGTTCTCATGATCATCTGAAGTATCGGAACTGCTCTGCCAGACTGGATCTGAGAGCTCATGAAAATGGCCTTTCTTAGGCTATTTGGGCACTTCTCTATCTACCTGAAACCCAGAAGCACAGAACCATAAAAATATTACAAATTTTGGATTTTGAACTTCTCAGAGGTTTGGATTGAATTTTTGCATGGAGGTTTTGGTTGCTCATTGGTCTTACTTTACCTGGCCATCTTTTGCCCATGCCTGTTGAAAACCTACCTTGCTCCCATTTCTATGACACATTGTCATGTTTTCGATAATGGATTGTAGTCATGGGTCAGATTTAGGACACCAAAAGGCTGATACCCGACGCAATTCAAACCTCCACCCACTGCACCAGAGTAGGTGGCCATTTCTTCTAAAATGATCAGTAGTGACCTAGGACGAGATTGTAAAGATATTTTAGGCATTGCAGTGTTGCAATGTCAAAGTGGTTTATGAGCTTAAACCATTTTCAGCAGTGATTTAGGCCGTTAGGAGCCTAAGTCCCATTGACAGTCGATGGGATTTAGATTTGCAAGTGCCTAAATCACTTTTTGACAAGGAATATCTCTGTGATAATGGACTCCCTGTGATTGTATTTGGGGACTGGGTGGCTCAGGAGATGGGGAATGGCCTGCATTGCCTTTCATCTTTAAGTTGTCACAGTTTGATGGCTGTTTGAGCTCAGTCCCTGTCCTGGCAGACAGATATCCACATCAGCAAAACTGGGCCCCTGAATGACATTACTTAGCCAAGAGTCCAAGGCCAAATGGGCCCGCGAGACAGAAATATCCTACCACCCTTATACATGGTCCCTTCAGGAAGGGGACAAAGGAAGGAGGAAGTTTATAACTCTTCTATATAATGCTGAACTGTCCATTGAAAGTCAATGGGACTTGTGCTTCCAAATAACCTAGATGCTTTTGAAAATATCCCCCTCATTGGGGTTTTTTCACCAATCGTTCTGCATGATGTTGCTGTTGAATTCTTCATTTTACTCTTGCCAAAATAATGCCTTTAGCATTCCCCCTGATGAAATCTATATACCCTCATGGAAAATGGCCTCTTTTTATTGCAAAGATAAGTAAGTTCTCACTGGGTTGGAGAGTTCCATGGACTATAAATGCTTTGCATTTGCCAAGCCAAACCAGCAAATTCAGCCATGACCAAGGGCCCATGAGTCCAGGCTCGGTATCAAAAGAGAACAGTTAAGACTACCCGTTCCATCAAGAGGAGACAACACACTGGTATCATGCTGAGAGGTGAAGAGGGACAGTAAGTTACATATTTCCATCCTTATGCTTTCCCCTACCACAGCTACAAGGTGTCCACCCCTTCTCATGTCCGTGCTGTCAGAGGTAAGTGTGGGAAAGTCGATTTGTGTCTGTTAGATCCAAATGGAGTTATGGAGACACCATGAGGCCAGCTAGGAAAATTGCAATCCTTTTAATTTCCTATGGGATTCTGGGCACTGATTTATGAATGGTATTTAAAAATTGAGCCGTATCCACTCTCCTCCATCTTCCTAGCAGCTCTATGCCCTTTCTCCCACGGCTTAAAACATTTTCTCGGGAATTCAGACTGCATAGAAGACTTTAAGCGACTCAAAACTTTGCCTTCTCTCGGGAACATGACTGAGATGGTGGCTGTTGATGGACGACATGCCCACAGAAACCCAGAGAGTGAATCAGAAACATGGGGTGTCGGCCACCTCCAGAGAGAACATGGAGATAACAGGTTCTGGGGAAGTCAGTGGTTCTGGGCTGTCCAAAGGATTCTGAATCAGGGCAGTTAGTAGCCTGCATGTGAATGCATCCAAACAGAACAAATGCTGGAGCCCTATCCTAGCAAAGTGATTTACCTGTAGCAAACCTGCTTCTGACTATACATGGAGGCACAGATTCTTTGTATGCTGAGAGGAGCTAGTCTGGTAAGGATGAGACTGAAGGGAGGTCAGGCCAGAGAAGCATATTGGGACCCAGAGCAGAAGCACCGTTTCCAGGGGCTCTCACTCCCAAGAACACCCTGTAAGCATGGTGCCTTGTGCCAAAGTTCGCTGGCAGCAGAAGAGAAGATGCAGGAGGACAAGGAGAGCTCCAGGAACACAGCTGAGCTGAGAGGGGAAGAGACAAGTTCCTACCCTTCCTTCTAGGCAGGGTGACTGACTGGGCACGCATGGGGAGACTCCTGGTGCAGCTGGCTGGCTTTTTGAGTGAGCCCCGTTCTCCTTAATTCTGACCATGTCCAGACTCTGCTCTCTGGGCAGTGATGGTCCATTGCCCTGGTATACTGCAGATTTTCAATGTAGATCTAATAGCATCAGCACGTTCAAAGCTTGTGCAGCAGGTGAGCCGGGACGCCGTATACTAATTATCTACCTTCATTTTTATTTAGCTCCTGTCACCATGGTATCTGAGCCTCACTCTTCTCTAGCAACATCCAGCCAGGGACCTGCACGTGCTTTGCAGGCATGAATTAAACCTCATAACTTAAGTTCCTGCAAGATTGACATGTATCATTCCCATTCCACCTGTGGGAAGCTGAGAAGCAGCCCAGAGTCACCCAGCAAATCAGTGACAGAGCCAGGAATAGACCCAGGTCTCTTCATTCCAAATCCTCTGCAATAGGCACAAAGGCCCAGCTTTCTACTCCTTAGTTCCTTTCTTTTAGTGCCTCTGACCTACTCTTCTGAGGAGATCCACGTTTGCCAGGAACATCGTGGTATTCGGCTTTCCCACCTCCTCACATCCATGGTGCCAATGCGTTTATGAATCCTAGGAAAGCAAAGGTTTTGGCTGATGAGTTTGTTGAGGTATGTAGCAGTATAGCATCCAGCGGCTTCCCCCCAGCTAGCAGGAGGAAAACCTGTCTTTGCAGACAGCTCTGTAGATGTGACTTGAAGATACAACAAAAAATCGATCTTTGGAGCTAATTGGGGCCATTTTTACACAGTCACTTTTCTGTGTGCCTGTCTTGTCACCGTATGTGATCGAATCCTATTTCTCCTGACCCGATTGGTGCATTAATTGGAATTGCATCAATTATCTCTCTCTCTCTCCCCCTCCCCCCAAAACCCCCACTTTGGAGCAGCTGCAGCAAACCATTTATCATTCCCTTGTGCTGAGGAGTCCAAGGCACTTCATGTGGTTTCAATCTTTGTCAAATAGAGTACAGTGCATTGCGCAAAAGGATATAATCTGCCCCCTTTCTCGCTGCACTAATCAGTAAATTGCCACCAAATGGCCAGCCGTTCATCCCCTTACTCTGCTGGAGAATGCAGTGCGCTCCAGAGGGCGCTTCACATGGAACTGTAATCAATTCAGTTCAGCATAAAACCAAAGATTTCAGGCAGCTGAGTAATAAATCTTCCCTCTCCTCTGGCCCCATCCTGCTCCCCTGGGAAACTTCAAAACTGGATCTAATTATTGGAAAGAGCAGAAGTAGCTGCTGTGATAATCTCACCCTGCTGAAAGGCCAGGGTGTAGTATGGGAATTGTGACCTTGTCTACACACACAGTCGCACCGGTGCAAACCCCTGTGTGGACACTCCTATTGTGCTTTAAGAGCAGATTATTTCAGTTTAATTTAAGCCTGTTCTCATTTGAAGTAAACCAAGAGCATCCACTCAGACGTTTGTGTTGGTTTAGCTAAATCTATTTAGAGTCACACCATTAGTTAAACAGGTACGGCTCTGTGTGTAGAGCCCAAGGATTGTCCTGGGACTCGGGAGACTTGGGTTTAATTCCCTGATTTGCCACAGCCTTCCTGTGTGACTTTGGGCAAGTCGTGTCGTCTCTCTGTGCTTCTGTTCCCCATCTCCCTCCACAGAGGGCCCACCGAATTCTTTAGAAATCAGTCACGCTTCTTTCAATGGAATGCTCAGCGTGAGTGTGATGGTAGGTGCCCAGACTGGTAGACACAAGAGCGCTACACATTGGTCACCCATTGATCCAATTCTTCTGTTCACTGCCTATGGCTTTTGGCTGCCCGGACCACGCCGCGGGCTGGACCTTTGCTTTGAGACTTGCCGTTTTCCACAGTGTGGTGTGAGGAGAGAGATTTTCGCTCCACTTTAATTCTCTCTCTTGCAGGGCATGGCTCTCTTGTATT